ATCGCCAAGAGAATCGCGCGTTCCGATGAACTCCCACTTTTTATCGAAGAACATCATCCTGGAAGGGGCGATCAATTCTTGTAACGTCCATCCGCGTGTGAACCAGAGCGAGCTTTCAAGAGGCTGTCCGGACAGAATATCGGACAAATATGCGTAGCACACTGACGAATTGGCGTACCATTTGAACATGGAGTTGATGGCCTCAGTCAGCTCCGTGAGGTTTCGCTTGTCAATGCAGCAAGTATCGACCCAGCCATATTCGTATCCATTGTCGAGTGCGATCCGGCAGAAGTCGTTGATCTTGGCCCAGCCGGCCTTCGTCATGCCTAGGCCTGGGGTTTGGAGGTCTTGATAGGTAACTTCTTCGAGCTCCCATCTGTGCGATAAGATGGCGTATGACTTGGGGATTGATGTGCCATAGAATTCCTCGATCTGAAGGAGTTTGCAGTTAACGAGCTTCATGGTGTTTTCATCAAGAGTATTGCAAAATTGGGTCCAAAAGTGCAGTTGGTCCATGCGAAAGCATGCACAGGCAACTCAGGCATCTTTATACCTAAATGAAAGTATCATATTAAAACGAGGCAACCATAGTGTGGTTGCATCGCCACTGAGAAGAATTGGAGGAGGTGCAGTTATGGCCTGACCAAGGCGAGCCACTACCAAAATGGTGGTCAGCATGCAAGTGTGCTTGGGGCACAGATGCGTACTGCACTCCTCTACGCTGATGATACGAGAAGAAGGCGGTGGTGCCTACGTTACCTTCATTTTCACGACATCATTGCGCATTCCATAGGCGGAATTCGTGTAGGAGAACCGCCTGTGGTATATGGCCCAGACTTCAATCATGAGCACTGATTTTCGTAGACTCTAACTAGGTTGATTGTTTCGAAGCTGGCATCTCTTCGCATAGTTCGTAAGTCCGCTGCGCTGTCAGTAATTCGAGTCGATCTTGAATCGATTAGAAGTCTTACTTTGGATACTTTCGATCGATCGAGAGCGGAGTGACATACTTCCTTTCTAGATTGGTGCTTCTGAGAAAGCCATGAAGACACGAAAATGTCATAAGGTTTTGTATCTCTCGCAAACCAAAAAGACCTTCGCGCTGGCGGTTGATCTCTGCAAAAGTCGGATGAGAAGAACTCGCGCTGTGTAAAGAAAGACGTTTCATCAGGCTTTGTGCTGAGAGGTACAATTACCTCGCCACTTTAGTCAACAGCAGGAGGAAGAAAGTGAGCAAAATTCCAATTCATTTCATCTATCATCAAGACACGTGAGGAACTTTTGAGGCCTGGTAAGTAGCTGAGGGGATAGTGAGACTGGAAGTGGAAGAGGCAAATGGCATGCAGACGGTCACCGCAACCCGTGCTCGCCAAGCGTCTTTCTGGACAAGAAATATAATGCCTTTTTGTGCGTTGTTCATTAATTTTCCTCTTCGGACGTCTTTCATTCAAAAACCTTAGTAATAGTAAGAATAGTCTACCTGGACTGAACTTCACCCATCTCATGACTCGCCGACATCTGGCCTTGTATTTTCGCGTCAGTGTCGAACCTTCTCAAACGAACACCACCAAGACCAGAACTAATCCTTTCTACATCAACCTCGATTCTAGGATCCGCAGCCTTTAAAACAATGCTATTACCACAACCTCATAGGGCAGTCTAGCCTCTCCCGAGAACCAGTCCGCCGGAAATAGGGGCTCACTCGGCACTTGCATGCAACTGCCCAGGACCGGGGTTTCAAAATAGACTTTCTGAATAGATTGCGCGCCCGCTCTTGAGACAAGTCCCCGGGCAGCCCGCAGTCACATCAGCCCCAAAAATTGACATTCGACGGGTGGACCGCACGACACTCGTCATGAAAGGTTGGGGCAACGCTGCTCCCCCTTTCCCGGTGGTGGGTGCTGCGCGGTGAGATATAACTGCCCGACGAACCCGCCCATGCGTGACGCGCGCGGTGGTAGATGCGTTCATCGCAAGTTTCACTCACCACAGTCACTCGTTCCCACGCGCCAACGTCGATCCGCCGATCAATTCGACTAAGATCCAGAATTCCGTCCGATAGCAACGTCTTACAAAGAAGGAAGTCAACATGGTTAACTCATTCGTCAAGCTCTTCGCCTTCGCTGGCCTCGCGTCCGCCGGCATCCTTTCGCCGCGCCAGAACACGACGCCTGCTGTTGACATTACGGCGCTGACCAAGAACGTCACGGCCACTTCCGGAACCGGCGCCGTCAGCGCCGCGGGAACTTTGTCCCCCTTCGGAGGTATTGGAGTCGGCTGTGGCATCAACTGGGCCGAGGGCCAGTCCTTTGGAGGTAAGTCAGTGGTCAGGCTGGGACGGAGCGACCCGGGCTCGGATGATGGGCTCGGGAAAGAAACCGGAGGACGCAGAACTTCTTCCCGGAAAGCCTCTAGAGCATGATACTAAACAGATTGCTTGTCAGGCGGCCTTCAATCCGGCTCGGATTCTTTCGGCCTCGGCGGCGGATTCACCATTACCAAGGACACCATGAACATTGGTCTTGGCATTGGCATCAACCCTATCAAGTTCAACTCCAGGTAAGCCTGTGTCGCAACGAGAATATCACTTGTAATAGCTAACAGGAAGCTAGCGTGAACTACGAAGCTTCGACCAACGGCACCGTGACCATGACCTTCACCTCCACGACGGCGATCAAGTGTGAAGAGACCACGGTTGATGGCGTCAAGGGTGTCAAGTGTACTTCCTCGTAGAAAGTCTTAGCGATGTAGCGTTTTTAGGCGTCAACTGATATATCCTGTCAAAAGTTCCAATACATACAATGCCTATGTTCTACTCTTCGGTTTCGACCATAGTGTGGTGATGGGATCCTCAACGCCTATGAAATCCAGTCACCGCCGTTGAACAAACGTTTGTTTCCGTGAACCCGTCGACTGCTGAGGTCCTCTTCCCGTGTTCATTCATTTCATCGCAATACGAATACACGGAGCAGGGCTATCCATCTATTAGGCTATCGGTCGCCAAGCTACCACACAATTGCCACCCACCATTGTTTGAGTTTCCGATTGTGTGACGACTTCTGGGAGAGGCTCAGGACATAATCAGTCTGAATGTTGCGGGGCTGGGGGCTGTTTTCAGGTCACCACAACTCAACTTATGTAGAGAGACCAATGCTTCTATATGCCCCCTGAACGATGAGCAGCGGTATACATGACAACAATCGCAATAGAGTGTGCTTTCAACAGCCAAACACCCAGTCTGAACATTCTGGTGATCGTTTTCTGTGATGGCTACACGGTTCGCCTCATGCAAATCCAGGTTCATCACGATCATGCTCTGCGAGACACTGCGCAATCAATATTGCCTGTTATTCGTCCATCTTTGCCGCTGTTTGTGGCTTAAGAGGCGCGTATGCATCGCTGAACACAACGATGTGCTGACTTGAAATCAGCCTTGCCGTCGGTAAGTACGCGTCCTAACCCAGAAAGACCACGTTATGACGTCATAATATGAAAAGAACAATTAAAACATCATTCAATCTGGAATGGTAGATCGGCGTATTGATGGAAGGGATGAAGGAAGCATGAGCACGAGAAAAAACGAAAAGAAAAAGAAAAAAAAAAGTAAAAGAGAGGAGAAAGAGGATGATGGTCCTGACCAGGCTTGAACTGGCGACCTTCGCCGTATCTGACGTGATATCAGGACGATGCTCTGACCAAACTGAGCTACAGGGCCTTTTCGTGTTTGTTGAATAACCAGTCATTAGTTCAAACATATGAAGGATACCTACGGTGCCATGTAGTTGACTCATAGTCTTGAAACATCGAGGTGCCCGTAGTTGCCCTTGGGTTGAGTTTGGGTTGACTCACAGATCATCCGGGTGGCTGAGGAAAACCACCTGCGCAGATGCTCTCAAATCTACCTACGTGCTCTAGATAGAAGCGGCGGCAATACCCAAGGAGGTGCCTCGTTGTAGCATCGGTTCATTTCGGTCTTAGACCTATCACGGCATTCAACCAGTAACCTCCAATCCCCTTTTTTTGACACCAATACTGCCGTGAACCGCCGAGCCCGCAAACGCCTCCCAAAGTACAGTGCGGTTGAAATTACCTACAGCTCTGGCGTTCGTGACAAGATTTCATGGAACGAGATAATTTCCGTCAAGGTCGAAGGGATCCAAGCATTCGGATGTCTTCAACTTCGGAGAAAGCTATGAGATGATAGAGCTTGGGTGGAAGCTAGGAGAAACCAGTGTCAACATTGTTTGCCAACATACCTCAGCCCATTGTACAGAAATTTTTAGCTCGGAAACCTGAAAAGTTTGGTCACTGTCCATGAGAACCAGCGCGAAAGCAGGGTCGCCACATCGGGAAGTGACCGAGCTGTGTTGTTCGAACTTGACCTGTGTGGTCGACACCTTTGTGAAGGGCGTGTGTGATGAGTATCAGTCAAGGTCGACGGAAGCAGATTCTTACCGAGCCGCAAAGGTTTCTGGTATCTATCTCTCTCACTGCGTCACGTGCATGGAATGGCTCGAAATATCAGACTCGACCAAGGTAGAATCACCACAGGTTCATCTGACTACCTGGAGGAATCGACCACACAAGGTCCTCAAACCCATCGTATCAACCAAACTCCTCCCTTCGGAGATGTCTCTGTCCAAAATCCAATTAGGAAGGATAGCCTCAAAGGTTGACCTTTCACAACGAGGACGTTTCTCCGGATGATTGGGGTGTGATCCAGGGACTGCTTCAAAGCAGAGCAACTTTCCTCTGATGTGTTCTGCATCTTCCGACCTCCCCATCCCATCTTAGGATATCACAATTGGCAATTCACACAGATTCCAGTAGTGCATATACTAACTTGACGATCCACTGCAAACAAACTTCTTCACAGCTATACCCATATTGCAGGCCGCCTGCCACCACATCTATCCTACGAATAGATTCCAACAGGCCTCTTACCTACACATTCATTCTACTCCTTATCACAACTACTCACAAGGCAACTTACGTACACAATGGCAGCCCTCAAGAGTCTTAACGCTATCAGGGCCAAGTACGTCCAGAAGCAGCAGGAGAAGGTGAGGACTGCCGCCGTCGCCGCCGCCGCTCCCGACCCGTTCCAGGCAGTCGCCAATTGGAATTGGGAGGGCGTAACCTCTCCTATTCAACAAAGCCACAATGCCGTGGCATGCCAATTCACCGATGGGAGTAACCCCTCCAACGGTGCTAACTACTACGTGGCCGGCATGTGCGCCCCGGCCCAGGGATACAACAACGACGTCCCCAACGCCGGCGTCGTCATGGACATTGACGATGCCTCCTACAACTCGCCCGACGTCAGCATGAGCGACGTCTCCAGCGACGTCTCCAGCACCATGTTCGACATGGACATGGACATTGTCTCCGACGCCATGGCCGACATCATGTCCGATGTCCCCTGCGCCAGCCCGGAGATCCACATGAGCGACGCCTGGCTCGTGGGCTCGCTTTGCGACGAGGATCACTCGGACAACATGCTCAAGATCCTGGCGGGGAAGAGGCGCGTCACGGGCCTGCGCCAGCTTGAGGCGTCTCAGCGACTGCGTCCTCGAGAGGCCAACAGCCGCGAGCACATCGCCGCGAGCACATCGCCGCGAGCACATCGCCGCGAGCACATCGCCGCGAGCACATCGCCGCGAGCACATCGCCGCAGAGATCTCCAAGTCGCGGGACACCATTGAGAAGTGGCAGAAGGTGCTTGAGAAGATCCGGCTCGAGATGCAGAGCGGGCACGTTGACCCATGGCCTACTGCCAAGTGGATGGCGAGAGGCGAGTGCCTGCTCGCGGAGGAGTGGAAGAGGCTCGATCGCCTCGACATGGAGTACTACATGGCCTCGAAGTATGTCGCGGGGCTGCATGAGTGCTGCGTTTGGTGAGGCTGGCTTGGTCGTGTTGGTGGGGTGCGGGATGCTTCACTAGGTTCGTGGGTGATGTGATGTCTTGGATCGGATCGAGTCCAGGACATCTTATGAGAATATGATAATGACCTAATGACTCCAATATACCCCGTCATTTTCTGTTTGCACATTAGCATCTTGTAATCTGTGTTTGTGATGTTGATTTTGACCCGTGAGTGTTTCTTCATCTTCAGAGAGCTTCTGGCACTTCCAACCCTGCTCCTTCCTAATAGGTTGCCGCCGTCGCATGACACCTTTCCTAAAATAAAAGACGTCTTTCCCAAATGAGAAGCCGAAAAACGAACCACGAGAAACGGCTTCTCCGCACCCCAAAACTCAAATCCATTGCCGCCAAGTATGTCTCCATGCCTACCTATTCATCAGGTGAAATGTCACGATGGATTCTGAGGCTTCAGCTGTCGTCAGAGAGAACGTCATACCCACGGTCGTCACTGCGCAACATCGCAATATCGTGGAAGACACATGAATTCCCCACACTTTATCCACCACCCATTACTTCATCCCAACTCCCGCAGGCGGTCCGGCACATGAAGTCTCCATGCGAACGACGTCAGACGGCCCTCTCGCTCACACACACACACACCAGAAGACGGCCGATCCAGGGTCCAATTGGCACACACAGGCCGCCGATGCACTGCGGGGAAGGCATGGCGCCTGCGGTCTGTGCCGTCAGCGCTTCCACACTGACACTTCGTCTTCCCCGCCCCTCATCATCGTGTTTGCTGCAGCGTAGACGATGTGGTGGTGGTGGTGGCTGCTATCCTTGCAGCACCGGGTCATCGATCCGTCGGCTGGTGGTGTCGACGGCTCGTCTGCACGTCAGTGTAGGTGCTAAGTATTAGCGAGGTTTGGAGTTGAAGAGAAGAAGATGTGGAATCGCTGGTGCAGTCCAAGGTCGCCCCACTGAAGAAAACCCGACTGAGCCGCCAATCTGCGCCCAGGAACCCCTGCCCCAGCGACAGGCGAGCCCCGCCGGCTGGAACCACAGCTCGCCGCCTCCAAGCTCTGTCTGCGACAGGCCAGGGTTGGTTCCATTGATGGAGGGGGAGAGTTCAGCAGGCATTGATCCCATCACCTCCTCACCTCACCCTGCAGCAGCGCATCATCCCACTCCGAGAGACAGGTGAGCTGCTTTTCTCCCCGTCGAGCTGCTGCTATCCTTCCGGACCTTTGCATGCAGCACAGCACACGGCCGACCTCACACAGCATCAGGACTGCTCGCCCGCCATTTGCCTACGCTACGCAGCGACGTCACACCCAAAAAGAGTCGCGTGTTTTTCAAGACACAAAAGCGAACCGAAGCTCGGGCTAGCTACCCAAGAAAGATCGCCAACACGCCACTTCCCCGGGATATCCTCACCCCAGCCCACAGACCGTTGTCGAAAGCGAACCTCCCCCGCGCGTGCCTCGATTTTACCTTTTATTTACCCCAGGTAACGTCGGCAAGATTTCGTCCCTTTGTTATCTGTCACACACACCCCTCTTCCTCATTCTTGAAACACGAGCTCAGAAGCTTCCTTGTTTGTGTGCTTCTCGGCCGTATATAAGAGAAAGGTCCATAAAGCAAGATAATTGCAATATAATTCCTTGTCTATTGAGAAGAGACACAGTCAAATACAATGGCGCCTGAAGTGATTCAGCCTGTCGCTTACGGAGGAGGATTGCCAGTAACCAGGATGCAGATCGACCCCAAGGAGAAGTTCTACCGCCATTTCCAGGATGAAGTCGCCGGTGCGTTTGTCATGTCACTGAGTTCTGACGATGCTGCCATTGATCTACCCTGGGATTTCATAGCTGACTCCACACGTAACAGGCTTGCAAGACCAGATCGACGGCCTCGGATCCGTCTCCCAGGTAGGCGGCGAGAGGCAGGATGCCATTGACCACATTCTCGCCGGCATATCCGCCCTCTCCCACGAGGTCGCCGACGCCTCGGATTACGTGCCTTCGTATGACCAGCGGTCCTACGCCCAGGCTAGTCCTCCACTTCCATCCAGCACCATGACCTTAGCTAGACTCTAACACCCTCCCAGGCCGTCAAAGCTCTCACGGACAAGCTAAATGAAACGACCACCAAACTCGCCCCCCGCTCCCGCTTCCAATTCAAGTCCCGCGGCAAGGCCGCCGCAACCAGCGACGTCTCCGCGCCCAAGAACGACCCCCGCCTCGTCGTCGGCGCAAGCCTCGCCGATCCCCTCCCCGCCTCTCGCGGCGGGCCCGTCATGGCCCCCGAGTCACGCGCCGCCGCCGCCGAGACTGACGACGGCCTCGGCGAGCTGCCGTCCTTCCCGCACAAGAACTACAACGAGGAGATGGCGCGCCCGAGCACCACCAAGGTCCGCAAGCCGAGCTTCTCCACTGCCAAGGATATCGCCATCTACGGGCAGGACGGGCTGCACATCATCCTGCCGTCGTCGGCGTCGCGGGCGACCTCGTCGGGCCGGCTGACGGACCTGCGCGGGTGCATCGTCGACATGTCGCTCGCGCTGTCCGGCACGACGTCGTTTGCGAACCTGGCGCTGCGGGATGTCGAGGGCAGTCTGGTCGTGGCGGGCAACGTGGCGGGGCCGGCGCACATTACCGGGGTGAAGGACAGTATCGTGGTGGTGTCGGCGCGGCAGGTGCGGATTCATGAGTGCAGGAACGTGGATATCTATCTGCACTGCTCGAGTCATCCGATTATTGAGGATTGCGAGAATATGCGGTTTGCACCGCTGCCGGCGGCTTTTGTGAGTTTCGCGGGCTCAGGAGAGTTGAAGGGGACATGCTGACGTTTTTGTAGGATACCCCTGAAGACCCGGTCAAGAACCAGTGGGATCAGGTTGACGACTTCAAGTGGCTCAAGTCGGAGCCGAGCCCGAACTGGAGCGTGTTGCCGGAGGAAGAGCGACTGGCTGAGGAGATTTGGACGAAGACGGTGCCGGGAGAGAAAGGCAAGGATTTGCATGATATACTAAAGGCTGTTGGTATGCCGAGGCATTGAGCTGTTCGCATATTCCTAGTCGATCGGTTTGGTTTGGACAGGAGTTTGGCGGGCGAGGTTTTGCACGGGCGCAAGGAACAGCGTCTTCTGTCCATTGTCCAAGTATCGTCCAAGTCGCATTTCGGGTATCATATGAGCAATCTGGTAAAAAAAATCAAACGTAATCCCTGCCACAGCATCCTGCCTCGTCGCTGTTTTGAAGCTGCTCAAGCGTCGTGCCTGTGCCGTCCCCAATCCTCCTGCCATCAACCAATGTCCATCGATTACTCCGTCTCCATCTTATCACCGCCCCCGCCCTCATCGTGTCCAAACTTGACGCCCGCTTCCCTCAGCCGGTCCAGCACCTCCCGCTGCATCTTGATGCGCTCTTCGAGCTCCTTGATCTCGTCCTCCTGCTCGGCGGTGGTACGCTCCATGTCGGGCAGCGCGCGCATCTGCACGCGGGCGCGCTGCAGCTTGTGCTTCAGGGCGTCGGTCTGGGCGGGCACGTCCTTGAGGGAGAGCGGCGTGTTCGGGCTGGCGCCGAGGGTGTTTGGCGTCGCGCCGGGGCCGGAGGCGGCCGGGGTCGCGCCCGTGATGCCGCCCGCGGCGCCGGAGGTCTGGATGGCGGTGCGCAGGCGGGTGAGGATGCCCGTGAGCTCGGTGAGGGTGTCGAGAGCGTCGGGGGAGAGAGTTGACGGAAGCTCGAGCGGGTGGGGAGGCATCTTGATGGTTTGGGTGCCCGGGAGGCAGGCGCGTGTGGAGGTAGGAGGTTGGTAGGTTGAGGTTATGATTGTTTGCTGGTGGAGGTAGGTAGGAGGAGAGTCGGAGCTTCAGCCTCGGGGCGTGTGCGTAATTGCCGTGGTGTCGTTGGTCGAGGTTGACGAGGCGTCAAAGTCAATTGCAGGTGAAGGTGCAGGTGCAGTCGCGGTTGCAGGAGGGAGCAGTTCCGGGCTGGGCAAAGTGTCGAGAGTGGCAGGGGCAAGCTCCGCCGAGACAGTTGCGGTGCGGGAGCTACCACGGGCGTTTTAGCGCGTCGCCGATTGGCAGCTAAAAATTGTTGAAAGTCAACAGAGGGGCAGCTTCCATCAGCCCACACCGTTTATGGCAGAGACAGCACTGTGTGGTTTTTGTTGGATAAGGATGTTTGAACAGTGCCAATAACAGTCACACCGACACGGGTCTATTATCGGCGATACTATGACATAAACCCCCACCAAACACTGACACCGATAAAACAGAACAGCAGACACTGGACCGACCGGAGCTGCTGGGCAGGCAGGTCCCGACTGACTGTGTGCAAGGTGCATTGGCTGGGCCGATTCAATCAAGTCTTGTCTCCTCAACCTCACCACCACCGCGGCCGAGAAAAAAAAATAAAAAATCACGCAACCCTCTGCACCTTTTCTGTTTCCTTTCCTCCTACATACCCATCCTGTAAAGACATCGAAGCATAGAATACATATACACCATGGCCAAGACCGACCAGAAGGCCTGCCTGAGTACGTCAAAAGATCTCCCTCCCAACCCTCCGTGCCCCTCCTTGCGACCCCGCGGTGGTGCTGGTGATGGCAGTCGCGTTGTTGGTGGTGTTGATGGTGGTGGTGGCAGTGGTGTGAGCCTCGAAGCTGGTCGACAAGTCCAGAACCAAGCCTACCAGAAATCTGGAGAGGCACCTCCCCCTCCTCCTCCCAAGCCCTCAAATCTTGTCAAGCCCAAGCCCAAGCACAATTCCCCCGACTACGTCCTCACCCTCGCCTACATCGTCCTGTACCTCGAGGTCGGCTGGCTAATCTTGTGGATCTTGCGCTCCTACAGTCGTGATTGATGGCTGGGGTGTTCCCGGCGCCGACTCCCCCAAGGATGGCGACGCCATCACCAACGCAAACACCCCCGTCATGGACGACTTCGCCAAGAGCAGCACCGGCTACTGCGAGCTCGACGCCTCCTCCCTCGCCGTCGGTCTGCCCGAGGGTCTGATGGGCAACTCTGAGGTCGGACACTTGAACATTGGCGCCGGCCGTGTCGTCTGGCAGGACGTCGTCCGCATCGACCAGACCATCAAGAACGGCGAGCTCCCCGACAACGCTGTTATCAAGAAGACCTTCGAGAGCGCCAAGAACGGCAACGGCAGACTGCACCTGTGCGGTCTCGTCTCTCACGGCGGTGTTGTAAGTCGCACCGAACAGCAACATCACCCCACTCACTATAACAGTGTACTGACGCCTGAATTCCCAAACAGCACTCCAAGCAGGAGCACCTCTACAACCTCCTCAAGGCCGCCAAGCAGTATGGCGTCCCCGAGGTCTACATCCACTTCTTCGGTGACGGCCGCGACACCGACCCCAAGTCCGGCGCCGGCTACATGGAGGAGCTTGTCAAGACCGCTAAGGAGATTGGCATCGGCAAGATCGCCACCGTTGTTGGCCGCTACTACGCCATGGACCGCGACAAGAGATGGGAGCGTGTCGAGCTCGCCCTCAAGGGCATGATCCTCGGCGAGGGCGAGGAGAGCACCGACCCCGTCGCGACCGTCAAGGAGCGCTACGCCCGCGGCGGTGACAAGGACAAGGACGAGTTCCTGACTCCCATCATCGTCGGTGGCCAGGAAGGCCGCATCAAGGACGACGACACCGTCTTCTTCTTCAACTACCGCTCCGACCGTGTCCGCCAGATCACCCAGCTCCTCGGTGACGTCGACCGCTCCGTCCTCCCCGACTTCCCCTACCCCAAGATCAACAAGTTGGTCACCATGACCCAGTACAAGACCGACTACCCCTTCGAGATCGCTTTCGAGCCCCAGCGCATGGGCAACGTTCTCGCCGAGTGGCTCGGCAAGCAGCAGGTTGAGCAGGTCCACATCGCTGAGACGGAGAAGTACGCCCACGTCACCTTCTTCTTCAACGGTGGTGTCGAGAAGGTCTTCGCCCTCGAGACCCGTGACGAGAAGCAGGATCTCGTGCCCTCTAACAAGTCCGTCGCCACCTACGACAAGGCCCCCGAGATGTCCGCCGACGGAGTCGCCAACCAGGTCGCCAAGCGTCTCGGCGAGCAGAAGTTCCCTTTCGTCATGAACAACTTCGCGCCCCCCGACATGGTCGGCCACACGGGCGTGTACGAGGCCGCCATCGTCGGTGTCGAGGCCACCGACAAGGCCATTGGCAAGATCTACGAGGCCTGCAAGAAGGAGGGCTACATCCTCTTCATCACCGCCGACCACGGCAACGCTGAGGAGATGAAGTTCGCCGACGGCAAGCCCAAGACGTCGCACACCACCAACAAGGTTCCCTTCATCATGGCCAACGCCCCCGAGGGTTGGAGCCTCAAGAAGGAGGGCGGTGTCCTGGGTGACGTCGCTCCTACCGTCCTCGCCGCCATGGGCCTGCCCCAGCCCGAGGAGATGACTGGCGCGAACTTGCTGACCAAGGCATAAACTTGCGTGTTTGGTTGTGAATAGGGTGCGGAGTTGTGGGTGCTGTTTTAGGGGAGCGGGTTTATGGGAAAAGTTGAGCGTGTGGCGTGAGTTGAACACCTAGGTTATGACGAGTAATAGACCTATAGAGAATGAGAGCACGCTTTGATGACAATCTCATCCCCCAGGTGAATTCCCTGGCTAATCGATCAAAAGGGACGTTACTTGTGAGTCGGCATTGGTCCAGCACGTTTGTCAAAGCTTGGGACTATTCATCGCAATCCAGGTCTCTATGTCATTAACCCATTGTAGGTATTCCGCAGCAATGGCTTCTGATATCAATGTTTTGCCTCTCTTGTAGTAACCGGTTATCCGAAGGAAGTCGCTGTTGACGCACTTTACAACGCGAAGGATTCGGTTGGGGGGAGGCGCAGCAAAAGTGAGCCACTCGAAGTTGACGCTGTAACATTCGGGGGACGTCCTAGTTTCCGGATGACGACGTGCGATTCTGCTGCTGGTTGTGGCCCTCAAGTGGCCATGGTAGGCAGCGTTGTCTCAGTCGGCTGCTCGCCGTCTCGCGTTGGACGAGGAGTTCAAGCTACGCCATGCAGGGAGAATCCTACCGTTCACTCTCGACTGCCGAGCAGGTTGCCATTTCATGTACCTGTATCCTTGGGTATATATGTTACAAAACGTCTCGATTTCAACACAATTCGCGTTTATACGCCTGCGCTTGGGGTCGCTGTGTTCACCAACGGGGTTCTTATATTTTCTGAGCTGGAAAGCTCGATCGCTATCCTTCAATGGCGGGTACTCAACGTGAAACTATTCGTAAGCTACTGAACTGACGATGCCAGTGACTCTGATCGTGAGGCTGCAAAGGCTCAGGATGCGCTCTCGAACAGGGTCGTGACCCTTTTACAGAATGCGGACATGTTTCGCAGGCTGGAGAGACTGGAAGACTCGTTCGGTGTCTTGGGAAGCATCGGGCCAAAGCTTTTGCCTCACTGCGGCCAAGCTTTGCCAGATAGTCTGTCGCATGATCTAGCCTGCCGCTCAACCGTCACGCAAAGTCACGATCGCGTGTGCCCGGCTCCAGAATCGCCCCTGAACGCTGCCAAACAACGCCCATCCTCCACCTCGTTCGAATTCCAGCCTGTCCTGGACGAGTCTATGCCATACCGACGAGCGTGGGACAGAAAAGAGGTTGCGAAGCGGCAGATTCTCCCGGAAACCCGCGTCGACGGGGCGCACGGCGGGCCGACCCTCGCCGTGGCCCTGCAGCGGAAGCCCGGGACGTGGAGTACACTGCCTTCGCACTTCAAGAGGCCGGCGGCCAGCACGACGTGGGGGCACATGGTCGCGCTGGCCGCCTGGCTCGGGATGTACTGGACCGATATCGACCGCACCCGCGGCTGCTACCGCGCGCAAGGCAACGGTTACGCGATCGCCGGGTCGGAGGTCGCCGACGTGGGGACGGTGTTTACGTTCCAGGTCCACGGGAGAAGCCGGTTTGAAGAGAACCGCGTCGCGCCCGTGGCCGGGTTGAGGGAGCTTTGCTTCGGATTCGTTCCCACGATTTTCCACGCCGCGGCTAACGATGAGTGCCGCCTCAGTTCGGCGGGATTTCCCTTGCCGAACTTTTCGAGCAAGGCCGAAGTCGCAGGGTCGTTGGTCGCTTTGGGATGAGACGCCGCGGCCGCGAGGATGTTCACCGACGATGGGGGTTGCGTACTTGGGAAATGCTGACCCGAGCATCGCTGACAATGAACGACAGTGGTTTTCGAGGTGACGGGCATGCTGGCGCAGAGCTTCCACATCCAGAACAGCGGTTTCAAGAGGCTGCCGAACCCGACGCCGTACAGATGGGACACCAGGGCGTTTTCGCTACCCTTGATGCTGGACGCCTTTGCCTCGCAGATCGGGTCGTTGTCCGCCGGCGGCAGTTCAAGCGTCGTTCAGCGCAGGTTGGCGCAGTACTCGAGCGATTTGCGGGAGCTGTCGACGCCGGCGCGTTCCGAGAAAGCCCCGTCGTCGACCGTCGCCGTTCTCGACCGGTTGCACTACGTCATTGAGAAGCTGTACGGCATCATCAAGGCAAAGACGCCCGGTTTCGGCGACCAGACGCGTCCCGCGGCAGGAAAGGCGGCGGACTCAGACGAGCCGCGCCGAGACCTCGTGCTGCTGGTTCTTTCCGTTCATATCCAGGGGGTTCTTTCCGGCCTCAACGAGCACATGGCTGCTACCGGTACACAGCCAGGCGGCGACTGGGACGGCGGCGATGCCTCCAAGTACGAAGACGAAGCCGTTGACCCTCTCGCGGCTGAGGAGGAAGCTTTTCTCTGGAGGGATGTGCGCTCGGCGCCACCAGAGATCAGACAGCACACCCTCATAAGGCTCTACTTTGATCTTGTTCGTCACAAGGTCGTCGCTGAAGTGCGGAAGACCATGTCTCCAGATAGGGAAATGCAGGTCGCATCCAGGGCGGAAGATATATGGTGCACGCTGGTATTTCGGTCGATTTGCTGGCTGATGCTTCACGACTTCCAGCCGATGGACGTGCAAATCCCGAAGAGCGACTTGTATGGAAGCGAGGTGCCGGTGTTTATTGCGTGATGGGTCGCGACGTCGACGAATTTGACACCGATCTTATGTCGACCACGGTCTGGTGCGCGTTTCTGGAGTCAGACTCAATACACACGCATATTACCAGGCAATTTTAACAATCGTGGAGTTCGAATCACTCGGGTTTGTCTCACAGCACTTGTGTTTGAATGTCAAGAACGTATGGCAGTTATAAGTAATACAGAGATGGCAGAGCCAAAGTGACAAGAACCACCACAAACAACCATTTTGTGGAAAGAGTATATGCCGCAACATGCACCGCTCTTCCGCTCTGGAAGCTACTCGTTGCACCTTGTAGTAAGTCCATAGCACTGGGCACCTCATCCCCAAACACAAACCAGCTTCCAGTGCCGGTGTCATGGGTGATGTTAGTCTGCTTCGTCACTCCGCCCTTCAAGCTCCCGAACTCGACGCTACCTCCCCCAACCGGACGCTGCAACTTGTTCTCTCCAGCCTTGACAGTGAAGTTTGCCAGCGCAATCTCATACCCGTTCCTCGTGGCGTACGTTGGAAGACCGAAAAACGTAGCATTCATCGCGTCGTAGCCCACGCTGAGCTCGAAGTATCCCCGATAGAAGTACTCCTGCCACTGCAGTTCCGGGTTGGCCGCCGTCATCCACGAGCTCCTATTGAGAGCCTTCTCTTGCGTGATGTTCTGACCTGCTGATGAGGGGGACGAGACCGCTGTGCCGGCGAACTCGACGCCGATAGCCCCTGCACCAGTTTCAGGGCCGTAATCCTTTTCACCTAACCACACGAGATCGCTGACCCACGATGCATGACTATCACCCGCCAGGAAGACTGTATTGTCGATCTTATCATCATACAGCGTCTTCAACGTCCGGTTCCTGTTCGCGACGTAGCCGTCCCACTGGTCGTAGTTGAAGGGATTCTTGGGCCCGTTGGAGATGCTCTGGTTCATCCTGCTGAACACTATCTGGTTACCCACGATCCTCCAGAGGGTTGGTGTATCTTTGAGCTGGCGATAGAACCAGTTCTCCTGACGCGACCCCATGAGCGAGCGGCTGGTGTCGTCGCTGATTTCGTGGATGTACCCTGTGTTCCAATATAAGTCGGTGATGGAGCGGTCGTAGTTCCTGGTGTCGAGCATGATGAGGTTGAAGAGGTCGCCGAATTGGAAGTTGCGCCAGATGCGGAGGTTGTCATCCATGTCGACCTGCCTTAGGGGCACTTTGAAAATGTTAGATAGAGGAAGAGACGACGTGGGATGGACTTACTCCATTCAAAGTACGCACGCACGGCGTTCATCTTCCGCGCGTCGACGGAGATGCCGTCATCTTTGATGAAGGACTGTTCGGTGTTGTTCATCGCAGCTGAACCGTCTCGGTACGGATTGTCCATCACTTCGTGGTCGTCCCAGACTGTTATCCAAGGGAACTTCTGGTGGCTGGCGCGGAGGTCGGGATCGCTCCGGTACTGGGCGAGGCGCCTACGATAATCATAGAGTCTAACGCATCTCTACTTAGTACTAGAGCGACCGAAGCTTGAGGTTCGGAATCACACACGTAAGACAAGAGCGGTTGGGTTTCGGGACTCTTCCGATTGAGCCGCCCCAACCCAGACCGCCGACGGGGTACTCTCCGTTGCCGTACTCATAGATGTAGTCGCCGAGATGGATTACATAGTCCACAGAATCTTTTCGCTCTGGATTTCCGTAGGCGTTGAAGAAGCCGAAAGCTGTCACGGCTTGTGTTAGTATAATAAGCCTGCAAGTATGCGACAATACTCACGGTAATTTGCGCAACTGTAGACAGCTAGCTTGACAGGACGCTTGACTCTGGAGTTGGCTTCTGGAAGGGTCCGGGTTCTACCAATGGGCGACTTGGTTTCGGAGTTGCATACGTTGAACTGGTAATCTGGCTCCAGTCAGGTCATGTCCACTAAGTAGGGAGACTAATGCACGAACAGTACGTTCTAAAAGCCTTCAGCCCTTTGGCTTCCACCTACACCACTTAGCTACAAGCGCCAAGGCTCAGAACAGGCTCTGTCAACAAACCTTGACTGTGAAGTCTACATCCGAACTTGTATAAGCGGTACCCGATCTGACGACGTGCCCGTCCATAGTCTCCGACGTTCCAATTTTCCAATCGACGCAGATCGGCGACTTACTCGCTTTGACAAACACATCATTGTCGTGAGCGAAGACAGGGGCTGTTCCCTCAACCGTGACGTTGCTATGGTCGTTGTCCATCGTCGGGGCGACACGGGTCCAGAGGATTACGCTGTCATCGTACGGGTCGCCGGAAGCCACGCCGTGAGTGAAGTTGAGCTGCTCCGGTGTCCATGGTGTGCTGCCTTCAGATCGACCTGCCACCTTCCGGATAGATATCCCGAGGAACGGATGATGCAGAGATGGTGAACCGTAGTTGAGGTTGCCGGCGTAGGTAGCGGCGGTCGCTGCGATTAGACTTGCGCCGCAAAAGGCTTTGAGAAACAGCATTGGAGCGACGACAATCGAGAAAGACGCCGGGCTCAGAAATGTCTTGAAATAAACGGCGACTACAACAATAATTGTCGCCAGAATCGGCCGCGACAGGTGTGCAGTTCAACCCACTGTAAACGCATAGTTTTTCATTGGACGCATGAGGTTATTTGTTTGAGCCTACGCCCAAGCGCTTGTAAGAAACTTTCGTCGGTATCCCACCAGTAGGGTGGGGGAGATGAAGGTACAGTAGCCAGTTAACCGGAACTCAATTGATGTTTTGCGAACTCTATCATTGGTTTTTAAGCGGCGAAAGGACACGAATCAAGCGCCCGAACGGTGTTTGATAGGGCGTGTAGACGCAGTAGGGCGTATTATTGACTCCTATTTCCCTGGTGGGACCTAAGGTGAAAAGGACGCGGAACAGATGTTAATGATGAGATGTCATGCCCCATTCTACCATATTGACCAGATTATGGTGCTTGAATCAAGAGATTATCAAGTCGCCCAATTCATTTCAGCTTTTCCGTCTCTGAGATAGAGCTTCAGATAATCCGGATCGTTCGGATTTCCTTATCGACTGTACTCAGCAGACCAATCTCTTCGGCCTCGGCCGTCACCGCGATTCCTATCCTACGGAACGTGGTCTGAGTCTCGTCCACAGCTACTAGCAGCAGATACGACAAGGGATCGTCAGCTGTAGTCTGCTCCTGTGAGGGCACGTAGTACAAAGACCCGGCCGTGTTCTCGTTGTCGAAACTCCTCTGGCCGACATCCAAATGCACCAACACACCGTTGTCCCAATCTTTCTTGTGCTTGGATTTAACGATAGTGCCACCCACTTTCAAGAAGAGTTGCTGAAGTTCCCCAATGTAGTTGACCATCATTTGGAAAGATCCCGGCTGGCATTTGAGATCGAGATATCCTCCTGTAACAAGGCCGGTCGTGTCTTGCGAAACATGATCGAGGTGGAGGTCAAAAACCTCGATGAGAAGGTTTTCTTTACTTGGACCAGCGGTGTTTATCCTTCCATCTATCGAGGCCCACGAGAAGGTCGGCGCACGATACAGCTCAGGCCGCACAGACGGCGAGCCGTCGATTTGGCTTTGGCGACTTACGTGCCAGAGTAGGCTACATTCTAATGTGCTATGCCACATGCCCACAACGTATGTATCATTGATCTTTGTTTGAAAGTCCTTCGCGATTCCGGACAAGGCGATCAGCTTGTCGGAAGCCTTGGTAAGATGAGTATCGGAGTATGACCGTACGATCGAGTTCCAGATTCGGTGACATGCGAACGGATCAACGGCTTCTTGTGGATCAGCGCCGGAACTGGGCACTGCCAGGTTTAGTCTCTTGAACTTCGCAGGAACGCCATTGCGCAGTGTTTCGGGCAGTCCTTCCGGATAACACTCTGCTGCTGCATGGTCTCTGCACTCCCAGTACAGCTGATCTCGGCCGAAATGGAGAACACGAGGGGACAGTAGGCGCTCTTGCAAGACCCAACCTCGTTTATTGAGAGGACACTGGCCAATTGCGTGGCTCCAGAATTCCAAGTCAATGATGGTACAGTCCACATAATCTTCACCAATGCCAAGCCCCTCGGCGCAGATTGTCACATCTGCAGTAAGACTCAATCGTGAATCTCGTTTGAAGAACAATCCCTTGGAGCTATCTTGGGAACCGGCAGCGGAGATGTTGCAGTAGGAGTGGGAGTAGACCTTGTGCATCAGTGCTGCTTCGACGAGCCAGTCAGAGAGATCATCTCGGTCTTGGAAAATGCAGAGAGAGTCGATCCAGAGGTAACGTATCCCGAGACACCGAGTAACTTCAACGGCCTCGCGGAATGTCTTGGGGAAATCGGACAGCTGAATCCTTTTCCGAAACTGTCCGTAAGTGGACTTCTTGAGCTGAACGAACTGCGCCGAGCCCCAGCAGTGACTCAAAGTCGTGTACCGTTGCTTACACTCCAACGCCTCATCGGATGTAACGATCAAACGAAGTGTGTCGAAGTCTAGGTCCGGGGCAGACAAGTCCAACAGTCGGGTAGGGTACCACGCCTCAGTGGCAGCTTCGACGTTGCACGCTTGGTGGTTTGAGCAGCACGTCTCGATCCAGGTGGTGGCTTTCGCCCAAGACTCCTCAGACGCAGTGGTGTTGGACAGAAACGATGTCTTCTTTCCCAAGTTTTTGCCTACGACTCGCAATTCGCATAAGACACCACACTCAAGTTCTGCTCGCATCAGATAACTCACCAGGTCCTTTTTGGACGATGTATGTCCCAGTCACATCCTTTCTCCTCAACGGACATTCATCACGGAAGTCTGACTCAAGAGATATAGACAGCAAAATGTCCATGCCTGCGGCCTTCATGCCATCTTCCGCACCGAGATTAATTATAGCACAAATTGTTACCAATCCGTCAAAGGTCTCGAGCTTCTCGCCGTTTACTCTCAGTTTCGCTCCAGTGCCTTGGCGTTTAGCCCATTGTGTACCAAAGTCTCTCAGCTTGGACCTCTCATCCTCATCTATCTGCGACCAGAACGGGTGGCATATCTCACAGGCTTCCAGAGCGGATGCCTCGAGGCTGGCGATAGACTCGTGATGAGCTAGTAAGATCGTCGGTTCGGATTCGGCCTGGTCGCTACTGACCCACCCCTTTCTGTCATGAAGTGCGTCGATGCAAATTTCACAGAGCATGACGAAGAGCTTCAGCCTCTTGCTGTCTAGGATGTAGATAATATGAGCGGAAGAGACTTAAGACATGATGAACAGATTCGGTGCGGGGTTAATCGGTTCAAGGCCAATGGGAACCAACTACCTTACCAGCGAGCTGATTGGCGATGCGTGTGATTGTCTTTGATTGGCGGCACGGAACGCCACACTGTCTTCTCTTCATTCTAGAGTGGTACAGCTTCACATTATCTTGAGATTTTCTCTCACCCAACGTCGGCGAACTTGCGTATGTCTATCACCCGATGTTGGCCAATAGTAACCCACAAATTGCAGGCTGACCATTTGATGAAATGCATCGTTTTTACGAGGACGACTAGGAGTCCCATCATTGCTATTCCCGTAACATAGCTCAAGTATCATGCTTCAGCGAGATTGATTTTTATGGCTCAGGCAACCGGACTCTTGGAGTTATGGAGATGGCATAGCGCATTCAGAATGCCCAGATGGCAATATCTCAATGCATCAATCCAGCACTTTCTCTGCCACAACCTTGTGACGTGCGTACCAAAAAAGAGACTGGGAATTCTGACTAAGACCTTGATAATGCATCTTCTAAGGGATTTGTATCCCTGCAGTCTCCATGTTCTTGCATATGGATGGAGCCGATTGCGCGCGCGTCCAACAGGCCAAGCAACACCTCCACCTTTCATCATCTGACAATTCAGCGGGTGCGTGTCTTCTCTCTCCCCTTCATGAGGCCTGCGAATATTGGTACGCACCGTCATTCTCTGTCTGCGCACATTTTCAGGAGGCAAACCATCGCCGCTGGTCTGTTGCTATCTGTATTCTGCACTCAAAATGGCTGCGAATACTCGATCTGTCCTCTCTGGGGGTAGACCTACGCCCCTAGATTTCGATGATAAGGAGCCGCCTCTCGAGCTTGACGAGGATCTTGTGGTCAGTGTAAATCCCAGCGGCTTTGTGCGCCGAAGTTTATTGTGCAACTCAACTAATTCTACTGAAGACCGATGACGTAGCCTCCGTCGATGAGCAAATGTAATGAGTCGTCGATTTCCTATGTCTGGATCATGAACTGACCTGCGAACAAACCAGTTCGGAGTACACTGCCTCGTTGGCGCCTAGCGTTCTGAACTATCCCGAAGAGTATGGTCGCCGATATCATGCTTTTCGGCCGGGAGGTTAGTTTCCTGCTGGACTGCAGCTCAACCGCATGATACCTCACGCACGTTGTCTCACACTGGCTTAGCATATCCTCTTCCCAATGATGATTCGGAATCAGAGCGCCTCGATATGACCCATGAGCTGATTGTCAGACTCATGGGAAACCGTCTGTTCCTAGCCCCTCTGGAACGGCCCAAGGTTCATCGGATTCTTGACATCGGAAGCGGTACCGGCAAATGTAAGAATCATCTTCCATAGCCACATCAAGCTGCTACATGAACTGTATTGACCATTACGCCCAAAGTGGCCGTTGCACTGGGAATTCTCTTCGAAGACGCTGAGGTGAGCAATTCAAATCATCCTTCGGCGCAGAAGGCGATGCTCAACGGAATAGGTCATTGGGAATGATTTGAGCGCGATCCAGCCCACTTGGTATGTGAACCTACCCAAACATTCGTCCTGTCTGCAGCTCACCGTCGAGAAAGGATTCCGCCCAACGTCACTTTTGAGATTGACGACGTTGAAAGTCCATGGGTAGGCAATCAGAAATTTGACTTCATCATCTGCCGCTATATGGCCGCTGCAATCAAAGACTGGCCGAAGTTGGTGCAGAGTGTCTACGAGTATGTTTCGACTGTTTCATTGACCCCATCAGTTGTTTTCTGGTCGCCTCCAATATCACAGGTTTCCCCGTGAAGATGTATCTTGTTTCTGACGTTTGAAAGGAATCTCAACCCTGGGGGGTGGGCAGAGTTCCAGGACATGGACATTGAACTCTACTCAGATGACGGAACTCTTACTGAGCAACACGCCACGAGAGACTGGAGTAAAACCTTTGTGACGACTCTGAGAAGCATGCAGCTCGATCCGGCTCCTGGCCCGCAGCTCGAGGGATGGATTCGACAGCAGGGCAATTTTACCAACGTCACCCATCGGAAGTTCAAGGCGCCAGTGGGACCCTGGCCCAAGGATAAGGCCTACAAAGATCTGGGAATGTTGAACCTTATTCAGACATTGGACGGGCTTGAGGGTTTCTCGCTCAGAATGTTCTGTGGCGTTCTTGGGCGCACGAAGCAACAGGTCTTGGACCAATTGTCAGATGTGCGCAGGGAATTGAAGAGCAACGCCTTTCACTGTCAGTTCGACATGTAAGTCATGCATCCATTCGAATGCATTATGTTTTTGGATATTTTCTAACCACTGCTTTAGTCACATTGTATATGCACAGAAGCCCTCTGTGGAATAATAGTGTTTGAGGGCAACGTGTACAGCATGCGATATATGCATTACAAATAGGGTAGCTTTTTGGATTGTTACGTGAGAATACAAAGCCACTCAAGGGGAAAGGATGGTTCTCTCACTCCCAAGGTGTATCAAATGCTTTTCGCTCCATCGCTCACGTGTGGTTTCCGGCATCAACTACCTGTCAATTACGGTAGATTCCCATGTTTGACAAGTTGGGGGATGTCATAGTCCCGTCGCCGCGCAAAAGGAAGAAGAGTCAGCTTTAAACAGCAAAATACATGTAAATATCTATGAAATGTTCATAAACCTGCGCATCGTCAGCTGGGAAAGCAAGAATCTGAGCTTGAGCAGCATCATTTCGGCTCACTGGCCGATCACTTCATTCGAGGCAGACGGTCGAGGCTATTCAATTTTGGGTCTGGCCAGATTTCTTCCCAAGAATGTCCTGGAGCATAGTAACGAATGCCCGGGGGGGATGCAAGCAACCGATTGAGCTTTGGGGGAAACAAATGTAGAAAGACTTCAGTCCGTAGCAAGCTTTTAATTCAGGCTGAAATATTCGGGGAGATTTAGAATGTTTGCATTCACATCTATGGATACAACTTGCATCTGAATGTCTTCGTGGAACCATTGAGGCATTTGAATCGCGGCACATGGACTGAATCCACAAATCCATATACTGCTTCGGGTGTATTCCTTTCCGTGCGTATGCAAAGATACGGCGAGGATCCAGGTGAACTGTTATTGTCTCTGAAAGAGGAAGATGCATTTGGGTGATCACAGGTTGCATATGCAAATGGTCCGGGGATCCGAAGCGGTTGAATCTGATTGGGGTCGAACCGACAGATGTTGGATGCAAAAGCACGGCAGCCCCATCATGAGAATGTTCGCAGACTTTTGATTAGCTGAGAGGTTTCCAGGGGCACTAGAATGGAACGTTCGCTGCATACCACCCATGCTGCCTCGCACAGAAAATTGGGGCGCCGAGATGTTGGAAGTCGCAAGCAAAAGCAGTGATGCGGCAAGTACAAATGTCTGTCCGTTTTCGACAGCGGCAATTCCGAGACTACCCCTCTTCTTCAATCACACGTTCTCATCAAGCTTGCAAACAGCATTCTTTCCCGTGACGATCGCTTCTTACGAAATCCAAAGTGGCAGCATGGCAGAGGCGCAGAAGTACACTACCGGGCCAAACTTGGCGCCGAAATCCCAGACAGCATCACCTGCTTCAGGAAATTCACCGGAAGCCGTGGGAAATCTCGTGCCTGGCGCCCTTGATGTAGATGAGGCGGAGCATGTGCGTGAACCCTTTAACCTTTCTCTTTGTGATGATGGACTTTGTTGACGTGTGGTACAGCAATCCGATACTGCTTCAACAATTGATAGCCGAATGTGAGAGAGCCTTCAGTGTCTGATATCAAGCTAGTATCCTGATGACTTAGTTCTACCTATTCGGCATCTCTGTCTGAAAGCGTACTTGATTACCCGACCGAGAATGGCCGACGTTATCATGCTTTCCGGGCTGGCTGTAAGTGACGCGAAGTTGCGGACTCTGCTGCTGCTGTCAATACCGAATGCTGACGTGATGAGAGCCTACTTTGCTCCCAACGATGAGGTATATTTGAGACTGTTGAACCACGCCCCTCTAACTTGCTAATGAGAACCTGCGGTGTACGCACAGAGCGAAATGGACCGACTTGACTTCAATCATATGCTGGTGCTCAAAACCTTGGGAAAAAAGCTTTTCCTGGCCCCTGTTCCGAAAGAGAAGACCCATCGCATTCTTGACATTGGAACCGGTACAGGTATCTGTACGTGAGACGTGTAACATTCGCGCGTACCTATCAAGTCTGACGAAAACAACAGGGGCCATCGAGGCATCGGATTTGTTCCCCAACGCAGAGGTACATCTGACAAGTCACCTGTTTTTCCGGGTTGAACTAATAGGTTGAGAAGGTCATCGGCAATGACTTGAGCGCTATCCAGCCCGAATGGTAATGATACCGCTCAGAGAGATGTGATCTCCCGTGTTCTTGACTGACAATGCCATAGGGTGCCGCCCAATGTCAAATTTGAGGTCGATGACGTGGAAAGCGAATGGGTCCACAACGAGAAGTTTGACTTCACCTTCTGTCGGTACATGGCAGCATCTATCTCGGATTGGCCGAAGCTCATGTCGAGAATCTACGAGTGAGTTACATGAACAGGCATTCAGACAGGACGCTGAGAAACCGGGACTATAGAAACACAAACCCTGGCGGATGGGTAGAATTTCAAGACTACGATCTCTTGTACAGATCAGACGACGGCTCGCTGACTGACGATCATCACACTTCGAAGTGGACCAAGGACTTCCTTGATGGCTTCAAATCAATTGGACGAGAACCTTGCCCGGGTCCCAAACTGGAGGGCTGGGCTGAAGAAGCTGGGTTTACTAACATCAAACATCAGGTGTTCAAGTTGCCCATTGGTCCTTGGCCAAAGGATCCCTACTATAAGGACGTAGGAATGACCAATATGATCATGCTCCTCGATGGCTTGGAGGGTTTTACACTGCGAATGTTCTGCAGTGTTCTCGGGTGGACAAAGGAAGAGGTTCAAGTCTTGTTGATGTTGGTCCGCAAAGAGCTCAAGGCTCCGGCATTCCATGCCTACTACAACCTGTGAGTATATCGTCAACAGAGTTGGTGCGACTGGTTTGCTGATGAACTATACCTCGTAGTCATGTAGTCTACGCACAAAAGCCCGAGACCAAAGATAATGAGTAATGCAGTCTTTCGTCGGAACCAGTAATTTAGGTATGAGGTCTGGCGATTCCTTACCGCAGACAAAGTTCTCCTGTCAATTTGTTTTTTTCTTTTTTTTACACTCTAGCAGAGCTTAGTTGCAAAGTTATGGCACATTTCCGTGAGGATATTTGAGAGAATTGTGGTGTGAAACCAGACATCAACGGAAGCTTCAAGTGCTTTGGCTTGGTGGGAACCTTTTCCGCTTCCAGCTTGCGCGAAGTTGACAACTGGACCAGTGACGGGCATGACAAGTCCCCGAGAACCCGGGTCTCCAGCAGAGTTTCTGAGTTCTGATTCCCTGGATCAAAACCCGCATCTGCCGCCAAGACCTGATATTGCGACCGCTTCCATTTGTAATGCGACATCCCGCCGGTGAGAACTACTAAGTCTCATGCAGCAACATCTTGCTTTTCATTGGATGGGATGGCCTGATATCAGATGTTCATAAGCAGCTCAACTCCACGGCGCCGATGCCTGTTGGTCATCGTATCGGTCAGCTTGATATCACAATTGGCCCATCTCCCGTAGCTAGCGGGTGAAACATTTTTCTCCAATCTGTAGTCCATAAGATTTGCCTCGGTTCTTGGTAACGCTAGTAGAGAGTTGACACTGAAGCCAAGATCCGTAGATGTGAGCATGACTCCACTTTTCGCACGGGATGTTACGGTGTGGAATAAGGGACTTGCGTTCATCTGAGTAAGAAACTTGCATTGGCGACACGAAATCGACATACGGCGAGCCTAAAGGGGAGAAGTGGGTATGTGTAACAGGATTCCCCTCACCGCGACCCATCATTATAAATATTGTCCTTGGGTCCTGTGCAAAGTATCAAGTCCACCATCTTCATCTGATCTCAATCTTCACCGAGGTCCAACAGACATACCCCGCCATGGCCTCGACAACGCTCACCGAGAACACCTTCACCCACAGCGGCGACAAGACCACCTTCTACTGGTCTGCTGGCCCATCTCAGGGTCCGCTGGTCATCTTCATCCACGGCTGGCCCGCCAACGGCGAGTCGTGGAAGCCTCAGCTCCTCGCTCTCGCCGCGCTCGGCTTCCGCACGATCGCGCCCGACACCCGCGGCTACGGCCGATCCAGCGTGCCCAAGGAAACCTCCGCCTACGCGTTGGAGCACCATGTATCGGACATGCTGGCCCTGCTCGCCCACCTCGGCCGTGACAAGGCGGTGTGGATCGGACACGACTGGGGTGCCGGCCTCGTCTGGGGCTTCGCCGCGCAGCACCCGGAGAAGTGCGTCGGCGTGTGCTGCATGACGGTCCCGTACCAAGTCCTCGCGAATGGCCTGGAGGGTCTCGTCGCCCTTTCCAACCGCGAGCTGTACCCCGAGGATCAGTACCCGCTCGCTCAATGGGACTACCAGGCCTTCCACACCGAGCAGCCCGAAGCAAGTGCCAGCCAGCTAGCGGCCAACGTCACCAACACCGTCAAGCTGCTCTACCGAGGCGGAAGTCCGCAGACCTACGGCAAGCCCGCTTTCACCGCGTCACTTCGGAAGACCGGGGGCTGGTTCGGCGGCCTCCCAGAGGCGCCAGACACGCCCTTCGAGTCGACGCTGTTCAAGGACGACAAGCCGGCGTTTGATCGCATGGTCGCAGAGTTTGAGAAGAACGGCTTCGAGGGCCCGAATGATTACTACCGCAACCACCCGGCCAACAAGGCGTACACCCTAAAGGCACCGAACGGGGGTCGGCTGTCGTACCCCGTCCTCTTTGTGGAGGCACGATGGGACAGCGTCTGCGATACTTCCATTTCGAGATTGAGTGAGCCCATGCGGGAATTGTGCGATGACCTCACCGAGGTGAGCATCGAGGCGGGGCACTGGGTTGCGATGGAGAAGCCGGAGGAGACCAACGCGGCACTCGTGAGGTGGATTGCTCAGAAGCTGCCCACGCACTTCCCCGGCTACTGGAAGACGCCGTTCGTGTCGCGCAAGTGAGAGGATAGTCTGCAGCTTTATGATCTTACCCAGAAACGACGACATGAATTCAGTGCAGTTCTAGCCTACGCGTTTGCCATACTCTTTCGGCCACCTGTGACCATGGTTGTCCGAACGGATAGATGTGCCGGCGCACGTTTATGAACACGATAATTTGCCACCGCGAAAGCGCATCGCTATTTGGGTAAGGCGGTGATCGAAATGGATCGTCAGTTAGCTATCGTCATGGGAGAATTTCTCGAGTCAGGTCCCTGGTCCGACCAACTCGCTTGTTGCTTGTGTGGATACTGCTGGATATGAAACAATCGACATGATGCTTCTCATTGGATCACGAACTCTTCGTGGAGTTTAAGGCTGGACCTATCCATGCGTCGGGGCGCCCGGGGAACTGGACGATGGCCGATCATCCTAACGGACGACCTGAATGAGGATGAGGCAGCATGGGCAGAAAAGAGAGCTTTGCACAAATGGATTGGACCATTTCAGTGCCGACGACTCAATTGAATTTGACATATTTTCCATGTTTTTATCCGAGAATTGACGCGTGGTCGTCGATGATTCGGAGGTGAGGTTGTTGTTTGTGCGTCTAAGGTTAATCATCCTGATGGCCGGGGTAGGTCTGCTTCCATGGAGCCTCTAATTTCGGTTCTTTTTGATCAACCTTCGTGACAAGCTTGAATATTTTCCGTCTCTTTAGGGGCGCCCGCCCATCCCAACAATGAAGGGCACCTGTTGTCCTTCTTGCTTAAGGCTGAATGTGCTCAGAGCACCTCGGTTTAGTATTTCCATGCTTCAACCTTAACCGCAACAATTCTGGGCGGAAAGCACCTGTTTGAGCATGGCATCGTCGCAAAAGGCCTGGGAGCTCGAAGACCGGCCCTCGCCGACCTTTCATCAACAACCACAACAACACGCGCCCGCGAACGGCTCCGCACAAAATGCCGTGCCAGAACATATGTGGCCTTTCCAGGAGGTAGAGGACGACAAGCAGCCTCCTCAGTGGCCCTTCCACGGCGAGGATGAAGCCAAGAAACAGCCCCCCACGTCGTTGCATCCGCCGCCCGCAGCTGGCCCGCCATTTCCACGCCAACCTTCAGTCAGTCCGAGTCCGAGGCCAAGCCATACTCGCCATGTGCTTAGCTACTGGGCCCTCGAGCTCCTCACGGTGTTTGTCGCGGTGGGTCTTCTCGTTGCCATCATCGCCCTCCTCGCGTACTACGATGGCCGCTACATGCCAGAATGGCCGTTCGACATCAACCTCAACTCCGCCATCGCCTTTCTGTCGACCTTTCTCCGGGCGGCCATCGTCGCCGCTGTTGCGGAGATCATCGGCCAGATCAAGTGGACTTGGTTCACTGAGCAGACGCGCCCACTTCACCACCTCCAGGACTTTGATGCGGCCAGTCGGTCTATCCTCGGCTCCATTAAACTCTTGGCGGTGTTGATATGGAACATGGGATTTACATCTGCTGGCCTGCTTGCCATTGGGGCCGCGTTGGTAACCATCGCCAGTCTGTCCGTCGGCCCCGTCACACAGCAAGCCGTCCGAACGAGCACCTGTCCCATGTTACAGGACCATATCAACTCTTCCATTCCGGCTGCTAACTATGTCCCCGGATCATCAGCTTACTACCGAGTGGGTGCGGGCTCATATGAGATCGAGGTGGACATGAAGAGTACCATGATCCAGGGCATCACAGACCCAAACAGCCAGTACAGTAACGTCCAAGTCAGCTGCCCCAGTGGCAACTGCACATGGCCGGACTACGGCACAGGCGTCACGCACGCGAGCATTGGCATGTGCAGCAAGTGCATCGACACGACGAGCTTCGTCAGCGGGCCCAACAACGTGAGCAACATCACGCTGCCTGATCAAGGCGCTTTCATCAACATCATGTCTGGTAATTACATGTGGATGGGGTACAGCAACCTCAGCGCGTACACCAGTCTCTTTACTGAGGATTTCGCGGCGGCGTCGGCTGTCTCGCTTGCGAACTTCAGCATGCTCATGATCTCGAGCTCGCCTTGCACGTCGGACAACTCGACGGGGATACCCAAGCTCGAGTGCCCGCATCGCGTCACCGAAACAAATATGAACTCCTATGGTGATCTCGGAGACTACATCGCCGCCTCGTGCGTTCTTTATCCTTGCATGAAGGAGTATTTCGCCCAGTACGAGAACAACACTCTGACAGAGAAGCTCGTCCGCACCACGACGGCGGTGCCCAATAAGGCCGAGCTTGGATCTCAGGGCTCGTACTATTACTCGGGATATGGTAACTACACAGCCCGCCGGAGCCCATGCGTGCTTGACGACGGCACCTGGTACGACTTCAATAACCAGAGCGACGCCCTCGACGTCCCGGGACGCACCTGGACGAACTATACTATCGCCGACAATGACATCCGCCTGGTACCTAACGCCTGTCTGTACAAGATGGACGGCACATTCTTTTCGGCGTTATCAAGTTTCCTCAGCGTCGACCTCTTCAGCGCCACTTGTAGATACGACAACATGCAGAGCGGCCATCTCAACTGCTACGACTCGTGGTGGCTGACACCGTTGTGGGCCGAGAAGAATGCAACGGTAGCCAGTCTGACGAGCGCCATGGACAGCTTTGCATGGGCCGTCACCAACAAGTTCCGCATGACGGGTCTTGGTCCGGATATTCACCGAGGCGTTGACGCCCTCAAGAACCGGGGCGCCCAGGCACTTGGCGAAGTATGGGCAAGCAGCACGTGCACCTACTTTGACAGCAAGTACATCGCCCTACCCGCCGTCCTCGTGGCCTGCTGCGCCTTCCTCCTTGGCTGGGTCATCATCAAGAACTACACCGACCCGGAGCAGCCGGTGTGGAAGGGCAACGTGCTCCCGCTGCTCTTCTTCGGTCTGCATGATAAAATGGGTCCGCAGGCCGCTGGCGGAGGAATCGGCCCCAGCGCTACGAGCGAACCGGGCCAGCCGAGAGACGGCGGGAGATTGGCGAGGAATATGTCGTTCTTCCGGGAAAATGGACGC